TTCCATACTATGCATCTGTATGAGAGATATACACATGTGATATATCATGTTACATGAAAATATTGTATTTATGTCATTATGTTATATAAAAACATATATATATATATGATATATGTTCCTTGAAAGTGTATGCGTACATCCATTGTATGATATGAAACGAAATACTTGTGCAAAGGTCAAAGCGACTTCTCAGATAGGTCAGGTCTCGACCTTAACTTGGCTTCTCCGCATGTAAAACGATCGAAAAAACATGCAACAAGGTCAATCGTCCTTTCCCAAAAGCTGAGTGCCACAAATGAGCTCTTAGGTCCAAACTGCTACAGTACGAGCACCCGCTCGCCCTTGCAGAAGCATTGCTTGATTGACTAGCCACAAACCGAATAGCTGGTGGAGTCCCTGTTCACGGAATAGTGTCTTGTCCAAGCAGTTTAAGCCCACTTTGAAGCCCTTCATACCCCTCCACCCCAGGAATGATTGCGGTGCAAGTGCTTGCTGAACATGCCAAGCCTCTTCGAGCTCTTGATCCTTCGATGGCCTGGGTTTCAGCTGTGGGATGTCAGCATACCACTTGGATGCGCTCTGTGCATCTGCAGGAAATCAGAAGGACATTCTCCCGCCCTTTTTTCGACAAATGCAACTCACATACCAACCCCCTTCCAGCTGCTTCTACTGTCTATCTCCTTGCACTTCTGGGAGCAGGACATAGACTTGGTCATGGCAGGCCTCGCACAAACGGTGGACAGGGTCTTCTTGGCACCATTGTCTGTTGTCATGCCAGCAGCTTCTGGATCACTACAACTCCCAAGTGGCCATGACATCATTTTTTCAAGGTGGGAGGGGGTGTAGGCAGGCAAGAGGAGGCAAGAGTAACTGCAAGTAGGTAAGCTACTAACTAGCTTAAGTAGCAGGCTTAATGACTTGGTTCCTAGATTCTTTTGCAACAGTTAATATGTTGACGTGATGCGTTCGAAAGAAATCATGCTCCCGAAAGCCTTCGGCCCCTCTGTTGCTTGAGCTGGTTCCTCAGTGATGAATTCGCACTCAAAGGATGGGCACTGTTCACGCGTGGCCCCTGCTCACTGCCACAGACTGCAAGCAGTACAACGCAAAATAGTGTCAGAATGTCTCAGAATTGTGCAAGGTATTCAGTATGCAGTATACAGCAAAAGAAATACTGCTTGTGAAGTCACCAGTATTATATAACATGTAACATGTATATATTATTAACAAGGAGTACAACTGCCAGGCTGTGATCCGGAAGCCTGCCAAGCACCAAGCCAAGAGCCGCCGGAGCGCCTGAGCGGCAGCACCATTGGCGTCCTGAAGTGGGGAGGCTGCGTTGGAAATCGCTTGAGCTTCGGAAAAGTCGGAAAGTTGGAAGCTGAAGCAGCTCAAGTCATGGAGATCCTTTACAGTAGTTTTGTTGACCAGGAAAAAGTAACACCCGGAAGAAAGATGGAGAACCTTTGTTTACTTTGCAGTGATGCTCCCACCAGTCCCTCCCATCACGCTTAGCTACGGCAGTTTCGTTCATTGGGGATCTGTTCATGTTGGGGTCCTCAATTGGCATGAAACAAAAGAAAGAATTGCACAGTACCATCACGTCATACACTTCCCTTAGGCCTGGCCACTTCTTAACGCTTCGAAGAAGAGCCGCTGCAATGCCGCGACTGCTTGTGCCTGGCTCGGCTCTCAAGAATGGTTGTTCCAAAAGAAGAATGGCTCAGTCGTGCAAGGAGTTCACTGAGTCAATTCAACTGAATGCCGTCGATGCTTACCTGACATCCATGTCCTGTCAAGGACGCACGAAAGCGCTCCACGCGCCTTTGCACTGTTAGCTTCCGTCACCTTGCCCCAACGGCCCAGTGATCAAACCAACTTTGTGGGCTTATTTTGCGAGGCAAAAAACTCCAAAGCAAGATCACCTCGTACACCTGCCCCGGGGGTTCATTACAATGCTGCCAAGAGACTTCCTCATGTTGTGACCCCCCCAGTCCGCTTCCCTCTTTGCAATAGTTTGTGTGCTACTTGGGAAGCGTTGCACCCTCCCAACCGCTGCCCCCCTGCACATTGTACATCCTCTTTCACTCCCATGAAATTGATACTTCAAGCGGCTCAGAAAGCATGTGGTCACCCCCAGTGATCTGTGACAAAATGGAGAAATTATCATTGCGCTGCTGCTTCCAGAAAGGAAGACAAAAACCAGCGCATGCAGTTCAGAAGCATGTCCAAACATTTCCCACCTCCTGGCTTTGTATTGCACTTTGGGATGCTTGCGCTCGCAATGCTCGAACCTTTGATTGGCAGATCTGCGAACATGCAGTGGAAACAAACTTGGAGCCAGGTTCACAGCCTTTGGAACCCTCTCATGATGCGCATACAGCGGAAATCAAACCCAACGGACCAAATTGAGAGCTTCTGCAACTCTTGGCACCATCACCCAGGCAACAGGATGTAGCTGGACCGGCACGTCCGCCTGGAGCCAAAGCCCAATCCCAAGACGCAAAGTTTCGTCTCTTGGGACAAAAGGGCCGTTTTGGTACCCCTACGTTGGAGTTGGGCAGATTGTACAGACTTTGTCCAACACTACTGAAAGCAAGTTTATATAAGTGGTGTGGTCAGATCTTGCAAACGTCCAATGTCTGTCACTTGCTTGGAGCATCGAATCACAAGATGGTTCCAACACAAAGCTCGGCCAAAACTGCAAATCTGCACCTCTGGCCGTGCACGGGAGCTGCTGGTGCTTCTTTGGGCCTGGAGTCATTGAAGACGTCGTTGGAGTCATTGATGCTTATTAGTCGTGACCCGTTGGGCCAGTCAGAAGCAATTCTGCACAAAAACTCTCGACCATGTCACGTGCCACTACAAAGAACTTTCAGCCGCTAGAACTCCCGCACTGACGTCTGAGTGTGTACATCAGCGTATTGGAAGGTTCATAGATATGAGGGTGTGCAAATAAGAAAGTGTCGCGTGCTACTAGTCTTTGAGTCTTTAAGGTTGATGTCGCTTTTATTCGCTCTTGGTTTGAAGCCCAGCATGCCCTTGATGGATTCAAGTTGTGAAAGGCCACGGGCACATGCGTGCAGTGGCAAAATCTTCCCACCTTGCTTCTTCAGTTTGGCTGCCTAAAACACTTTGTAATTCAGGTGTTAGCCAGCGGAGTAGAACGAGCTCAGTGTTCATGAGTTCCACATCCCACGCTTTGTGTCCTGTGGCACATCATGTGCCTTCGGCCGCACCGCCTCAAATTCCATGACGCATTAAGCTGAAGACCGCGATCAGAATCCATTGAACAAATAATGCTCACTTGGGCCCCCTACTGGCCGTCGAGCAGAGGGCCTTGGCCTCAGTCCCAAGCATTGTCGTCGCTTTCTCAGCTCAGCTTCCCAACTCCTTGCTTTTCAACTAAAAGGACGCTTTATTAGGTGGAGGCCATCGCTATTTTTTTTGTTTGTCTGCAAAGAACTTGTTTACAGGGCTGTTCAAAAAGGCCGCTCTGCCCTCCTACCTAGAAGCGATGGCCTCCTTCGTCCAGGCTAGGTCTTTCGCTTTGGGATTTCGGCTGGGCCTCTGACCCTGAAGGCACTCGCGGCACAGTTCTTTCCTCGCGTCCACAAACGCCAGACGCACTCTTCGGTGTTAGAAACTGCTTGGTGTGCCATTCTTTTGCAAGGACCAGTCATAGATCAATATGGATCATGCTTGATGCCATCAACTGACCCATCACCGAATCAATCTACCCAACAGATTCCAGCCGACTCTGTGCCTCTTGTGCCATGGGAGCCCTGAGCGAAGAAAAGAGACCCGACTCGCAGCCCAGTTCGAGGTACCCCTCTCTCAGCCCGAGGCCGCTTGCCCTTGTAGCGATCCCCCGATCCCCCGGATTTTCAGATGCCAGGAGCCAAACGTGCTCTTCCAACAGAAAGCATGAGCCATCATTACCACTTGCAATTGGGTCAGAAAGCTTTAACCTATGGAACTGCTTTGACATGGAACAGCACACCACCAAGGACTTCTTTGCCGCCACTGATTAAAATCAATAGTCCAGCAAACCCCTTGACTGCAGCAGTCATCTTATGGATTCTGAGGTAGTGATGCCATCAAAGGGTCCTGGACATTCTCCAGAAGGAGTACAGCTCCCGCACAGTGCGGAAGAAACAAGTTGCAATGGCTCTACTCAGCTGCCTGGAAACAAATGGAGAGCAGCCGAGTTGCAATATTACCTGTGAAGTTCAAAAGCTTTCGCGTCCTTCTCCAAAGGATGCAAACAGTCTGGTGTCTGACTCTGTTCCTGTGCCTTCAAAACCACCCACAGGGTGTCCGTTCTGGCTGGAAGATGCAATTCGGCACTTCCCTCACTTGACCTTCGTGCTCAGCCAGTCCAAGGTTACACTCTTCGGCCTCCACATGTCCGAAAGTCAGCGATCCAAAGTGCAGTGTGCAGGTCCTGCCTCTCGATGGGCAAGCCCATCATCCTGGACCTTGGAGAAAATGCAACTCCTAACCTGAAACTACAAATCTTGCTTGACCTCTTGCCTGATACTGACCAAGTCTCCAGCCACACCAAGTTGGAGGTGCAACCAAGCGCTCGGGAGACGGCGAAAATGACCTCGCAGTGGTCGGGGCTCCAACCCTTCAACCGCGGGAAAGAAGAATGGTCGGTGGTAAGGTGCCCCTTTAAGGTAAGGGGCTCATTGAAAAGGCCAACGGCCAACGTCAAAGGAGCTTGTCAATGGATGCTCATCCACAAGTTGCATTGGTGTTTGCCCCATTCCCATGTGCTGGACTTGTTCTTACCCTCAGCTCTGTAGCCAGCTCATCTGGGGATAAAACTGTGTAGTAATCCTCCTGGTCCAAGCCGAAGTACTGCCTGAACTGAAACTGCACTTGTCCTCTAAAGGATCACAAATAAGCTGCAAGCTCGTGGATCGCAAAAGAACAAAGAAAACAACCATAGGCTTGACTCGACCGTCATCTTGACGAACGGAAGCAGCTGGGTTTCAAAGCATGCAAGTGCCGGAAAGGGCATCCACGTTTGGCCAAGGATTCCTGAGATGCTGCAACAAGTCAGTTCCATGTCGAAAATCCAAACCATTTAAGACTATGATACTCTCCCTTCGAACAGCAAGGCAAGTCGTACACGCAATACACAGGCCACGGCAGGCCACATCAATCCACAGGGTTAAAGGTGAGAAGCTCAACGTAATGGTGCTACTCTAAAAGACCCTGCATTGCAGCCAAGCTTCTTCACCTTGCCAGTGGCTTCCAGGACAGGTGGGATAGCCTGTGGCCAATGTGTCTGAGCGTGTGCGAAATACTTTTGTTCAAGAAATCCACATGTGCATGCATGTGTGCCATCCATGCGGGTCATGGCCAGTCGCCCTGGTCTCCAGTGGCCTGGAAGCAAACTTCTGCCAACTTCACCAGAGGGTCATTGGGGAAGTTGTCCTGGTCCGTGCGCGTGGCGGTTGTTGCTGCAAGCTCTGATTTTCTTCTGAATAACGTTCTAAACGTTAAAACGATTTCCAATATTTTCAGGTTAGATTGAAGTAACAATGCATCAGCAAGACATGAAAAGTGTGAAACAATTTTCTGTCTGCGTCTAGGCCTTTGCCAAGCTATGTATATATAGCGTCTCTGTAATCTAAGCAAAACAGAAACACGCATGGCAGACCCCTTGCATTCACAGGATCCAAGATCTATATAAACCAAATGTGTTCTTACAAGTAAAACGGCCAGAATAATCAGGAGCCTGCCTGGGCAAACTGTCGCTGAATAACATAGCGCCTGAGGGCTCAGTGGTGCAAACATATTGACTGAAGTTCAGCCGAGCTTGAATAACCTGGCTCTGAAACCGAGCAGGCTTTAAGAAACTTACTGTCTAAGCCGCTTCACTTGAGCCTGACCAAAGCAACTCCTTCTTTCACATCACTTGGACGCCGAAACGTGAGACGAGGCACGGGTCAGTGTTGCGCAAAACGCCGTGGCCAAAGCCTGGGATCACCTTGCCCGAGGCCAATGTATCCTGGCAAACGCCGAGAACTGGAAAATAAGGACCCACAAAAAGGAGCGGACAAAATGCATCTCTTGGGTTCCATATTTGTTTGACGCTGTTCGATTGTTTCTCTTTCTGCTGATGATATACACTCCAACTTGCACACATGGACAGTAAATCCAGTATTCAGTATTCCTATACTTGCCCACAGCTCAACGCCACCCCCATGCATAGGGCAAAGTGCCGTC